CCATGGCTAGGATGGAGCAAAACTGGAGCGGAGCCGTCCAAAGGCAGTTTAGTCACAATCTAAACATGGATTCGGTCGACATTCTCTCCATCTCCAGCTGCCACCTCCGGCAGATGCTCCAACAGACAAGCCAGGGCTTTTCGATCAGGGTCAACACGCTCCCTCGGAAGGCACAAATACTCCCAAAGCCGCTGCAAAGTTACACCCCGCTCTAGGGAAAACACACTCAGTGAGCTGGGGCAGAAGAGAAGATATCCCCCCCCTCCCCATCTCAAGAGAAGCTGCCGCCTGGTAACACATACAGGGAAAGTAATGGGAAAAGCCAGGGAGATGGCTGAGAAAGCCAGGCTACGCGCGAGCAAAGCGTCAGCACACCAGTGGTCTGTACGCTGACGTTTCGTAGGATTTAATCGTCAGTAAGGGTACCTAGGCAGCTTAGATGCCAACTGCCTGGAACCGAAGCAGCGCAGGCCTGATCCCAAGTGGGTTATCGAAGCCAGAAGGAAAGCAGCGCGAACGGCCGCATCTCAGGACATAGTTTACTACGCGAGCCCTCCAAGCAGCCCTGTCAGAGGGGCTTACACAATACTATTTGTAAACATTTACTTGCTTTTACTCATTTACAAAGTCTTGTAGTCTAAAGTCCTTTTCCCTTGTGTAACCGGTTCTAGTGCCATCAGTACGGGGCAGCAATTTAGCTTCTGGCTTCGCTAGATCTTGTTGTTCAGCTAACGGTCTACGGTACGAAGATGCAAACTCACGACTCTCTACAAAATGCACCTCCAGAGCTTTCAACCTCCGCTTAACCTGCGGGAGCTCTCCCCTTTCGCGCTCCAGGCGCTGCAGGGAAAACAGAGGTCCGAGGGCAAACACGTCGTCGGTAATCGCAAATCTAAGATGACTTCCGAGAGGCCATGCCTTGTCCCCACCCCCCACCCGCGCTCTGGGGGGCCAGGGCTTGGCATGCCCGCTCTGCCCTCTGAGCCAGTCTGTTCCAACCCAGTACTTTCCCAGCAAACCCGTGCTGTGTCCCCAAACAAAGCCGTGCCTCCTGTGCCCCGGACGCCGCTCCTCCGCAACGGGGTCCTCTGTGCCAAGAGGCTTCAGACCAGCACAGCTCAGTCCCGCAGTGAATACTGATCCACCCCGCTCAGCCTGGAAAGCCTCCCTCCGAGGCTCTTAAGTAAAGGGCTAGGACGGTGTTTTCCACCCAGAGAAGGCCTGCAATTACAGCTCAGGCAGGAACTTCTCCTCCAGCACGCCGCTGCCAAGGCAGCCACCGAGGAGCAAAGGCGCGGCTGCTTCCAACTAGCAGGAAAGGCCTTCGGAGTCTAATGGCGAGTTTCAACTCGCTTTCTTCAGAACCAACCCCTTCTAGTTCAAGCAGGGCTAGAGTCTTGCTGCTTCCCAAAGTGCCAGAGGAGCTGCTGCAAGGGCGGCCTTCGCCACAAGAGGTTTAGCACCACTCTTAACCGTGCGCGCTTGTGGAAGCTTTAGCAATGCCTGGCCTCGAGGGTCTGTTCTTAAGAGAAGGACGCGCTGCCACGGCTAGGGGTACGCTAGCTGTTTCTAGCCCGTTGTTTACACCCGACGAGGGATGCCACCAGCGAGAATCGGTAGGTCAACAGCACGCAGCATCCTCGAAAAGATGGCAGCGCTCTTGGACCCAGTCTTTACCTGCCTGCAGAAGCAGGTCAAATTCCAAAGAGAAGCGGCCGATCGAGTTCCCTTCTTATTTAACACTGTTTATTCGAGAGGCTATGCCTGCAATTTACTTAAGGCCACAAAAGCCAGAAAGAATCTAGGTAATTCCGTGCTATGCAAAATATGTCACGAAACCCTTGCCGCGCTGGGTCGAGAGGGCGTCCTCCGGCAGGAAGGCAAGCGGCACGCAGCCAGCACGGAAGAG